CTTCTAAGCTGTAAAAAGTAGGAGCTTGCAAAGGATGCTGAGGTGAACATTGCCTCTGACTTAGCTGCCCAGCTAGCTGACTCAGTAACAGAATAAGGGGAAAACGGGGAAGTGATTCTTACCTCTCATTTATAAACTGTTTCTGGATATTGCCTGCATCCTGGCTTTTCTGACATATGGCACTGGATTCCTGGAGCTTGACTGGAAGAAAACTTTGGGGTATGGGTCATGGGCCACTTGGTTGCTACAGGTCAAAAATGCTGTTTCCTAACTCAGATATTATGGTAAAGGTGTGCATGCTTCCTCTAGTCTGAGCTGTGTGCATAAACTCTTGTTGTGTTGCTGAGAGAAAAGATATTTTAGCGTTTACTAAGTCACTGTGTGATGGTGGCCACTTGGTGGTTGAAGCAGAGTGAGCTTGCATCTGCTTACAGAAAGACTGGGCAGGCTTTTTCTGTCTCCTCTTCGATGGTGGTTTTGGTACTGTGCAGTAAGTGTTAGCACAGCTTTGTGCTGAGAAAGTTGAGTGGGAGCAGGAGTACACATAAGGCTGTGTTATTAGTTCTGAAGTTCTTAAGTATGCATTCCCTTGACACCTGCTCTCTTTTGGTGGTTCAGGGAAGTCATGCAGAACAGAAGTATGGTGGAGCACAGCTGTATTTTCTCCGTATTGTTTGGTACTGTTTGTGATCTCTGACAACAGAGGCTTTGAAAAGGTGGCACTGTATTTCCTTCCCTAAGTGCAGTGTGGCTGGTTCCCTAGTGGTAGAGCTTTGTGGCAAAGATGGTGTTTATGCTTCGTCTTGATTAATGCATCCAGGAAACATCAGCTGTGTCTTAGTTTGAAAAGACATGTAAGTGAAAAAGGAGTCAGAGATTTGCTTAGTAGAAATAAATACTTTCTTGATTGTATTTGTTGTTTAAAACATAAATAAGCCTCTGGCATTCGTGTAGAATGTAAGTTTTGCATGTTAAATTGAGTTTTAGTAGGAAAAAAATATGTGTCTGTTGCAATAATATAGCATATGATATAGGCTGATTTTGCTAAGTGAAAGAAGGAACCATTATTCTGTTAAGCTAGACTTTGTAATGCAGGTACAATGTAATCTAAGATCTTTAAACCTAAAAGAAAGCCTTTATTTGCTACACTCAACATGTAGATGGATAGACTGTGACCAGGGTCAACTCTATGTGTATACTGAAATGATCATCTTGTGGGAATTTTAGACACAGGATTCAGAATAGACTTTAGAAAATGAACCTTCATGAAATTTGTAGTGGAGGTGAGTTACTATTTCAGCGGGTAAGATCAAAGATCTATGAAGTTAATTCTGAGACAAGCTGTGGAAGAATGTGGTACTGCCTCGTACCATGTAACTTGTTTTTATTTTTCTGGATTGCTGATTTCTGATCTTTACTATGAAACTGGACTACATTCTTCATATAGAGCTTGGATGTTGAATGTTTTCTGCAGTCTTGAAACACAATATTGTGCTTTTTTTTTCTTTCTGATAATGCTAGAATTTTCAAATCAGAGCTCCATTATAGTCCAAATTATTTGCCTTTTTGGCCTTACCAATTGTAATATTTCCTTTAGTTCTTAGATTAAAAATAAGGGTTCAAATGTAAATCTAGAAAGTGAAAAGCCAAGAAAAGGTCACATTTCTTTCTGAGGATCTGAAAAAAATTGCACATCTTTCTTCATGCATAAATCTTGGAACTCTGGGTTGTTTGTAAAGTCGTGTTTTATACAGAAGGAATTGAGGTTCTCATAATAGCCAAATCTTTTCACTAAATAATTTGGGGTTGGTTATTTTTTTCTTCTTTTTTTTTTTTTTTTCTTTCTTTTCTTTCTTTCTTGTAACCAAGAATACCTGGAACATAAAAGTGGAGGAATATGAAGTTAAATAGACATGAATCTAAAACAAAAGGCCAGAGAGAGAAACTTTATCCAGGTTTCAGTCTTTGGAAGATCTCTTTTCATGTCTTAAAAATTCTCTTGGTATTTGAGTAAACAAAGTCTTCTAGGCTAGGAAATGTAGAAGAATATTTATCAAATAGTGAAGGATATGTTAAGTTTAACAGAAAACTATACCCCCCTTTTCTTAAACTGGGATCCATTGATAAGCAAAATCTCAATTTTTAAATTGATCTCTTCAGGTTACTTCTGTGTTCTTAGAATTCCTGAACGAAAAGAAACTTTACACGCATACCTAAAAATTTAAGAAGATTTTGCGGATATTGTAGACCCAAATAATGTAGCAAGTTCTGTATTAGTAACAGTGATCTGCTGAATATTTTGAGGTTAAAAACATAGGTATTTTTGAGGTATAAGTTAAGATCTAAGTCTGGTTTTGTTGGGTTTAGTTTTCCAAGAAATGTGTATGTATGCACGTGCACAAAGACTGTTGTAAGAGTTTTATTAGAAACGGTGCCTTTACAGTATTTTAATTTGAAATAAGTATTCCTGCATGGTAATTTCTAGAGATTTATTTTGAGAGAAGAAAAGAGTAAGGAAAAAAAGCCCCAAAACAAATGAAGAACACCGTTCATATATTGGTCCTATTAAAGTCAGTAGCAGAACTACATTGGCATAGAGGAGCAAGGATTGGGTATATTCTGTGACTCTTAAATGGATTTACATTTCACAACAACCTGTGTTTCATTTTTGAAAGAAGAAATTAAAAAGCAGTGGTACAGTAAGAAGTTATTCTAGCTAAATTTGTGTAATTCTCATGGTTTAAAAGTCAGCAACACTTAACAGTAATGTAAATTAAAGTGATTATGACCGATTGAAGCTGTTGATTCTTTTCTTAGTTACTAATGTTACTTACATTACACATAGAAGTCTTTTTTTTTTTTTTTTTTACGTACAGCTGAGAAATCAATAAAATGGGACAAGTCAGTAGATTTATTTCTCTTTCTTAGTAAGGAAGAATAAAGTTCAAGTAAAAAAAAAAATTATGTAACTTAAATATAAGTACATTTCCCTTACCTACTGGCACTATTTCTGTCTTCTAGGTTTTGTTGGATTTTTTTTTTCCTTTTTATATCGTGCTAAGGTTTTGGTCAAATGAACAAAAAGTCCAGTTTTCTTTTAAGAGTTCTTTTCAATGCATGGCTTGTCTACTTCTCATTTTTCTGCTTTCCTTTTTTTTCCTCTGTGTAGAGTTTTCTTTTAGTTATAAACTGGCCTTTTGCTGGTCATAGGTGTAAATGACATCTGTTTGCAACTACATGTGGCCTAAATTATTCAAAATGAGCAACAGAAATTATGTAAGGAAAAAGTCAGCAAAAGCACAGGCAACTTTTTCTCACTGACAACTTTCCTGTGTTTGTTTGCTGTACAAGGAGTTGTGCTTTTTCTGGGGAAAAACCAAAAATGTTAAAAGAAAAAAGCTTATATTTCTAATTTAGGATTTATTTGTAGAACGTGTGAGTTTATAGTATGCTTTATGGAAAGCTTCATATTCTGCATAGAAGAAAATAAAATGGCTATGCCTGTTAATCTGTTTCTGTCAAATACTAAGCTTACTAGGGTGTTTACTTGCTTGATTTTAATCAACTTTGGACCACTCCATTTCTTGCTTGGCATGAGTTTGGACTTTTTTTTTTGTTTGCTTTAACCTTTTTGCACTGCCTTTTCTGATTTTTGTCAGTATACCCGATTTGTTTTAATTGGGGCATACCAGTAATTGAGATAGTAAGAACAAATGATAACTGTACCAAATTCTTTCTTCTCTGTTGAGATAATTATTTATCTTAAGAATACACTCAAACAGTTGCAAGCAAATCAGGTTGTCAGAACTTTGCTAATTAGGGAAAGTATGTGTGAAATAAAACTTCTAGTCAGTCCGGAGAAAGTGGTCGTCTGGATCAAGCGTTGTTGATTGAAGACTTCACTCATGCCTATCAGAGCAGAGCTGGCAGTAGGGGTTTCATGAGTTTGCCCTAATCAGTGCAATACGAGGTCAGCTGGGTCAGCTCAAGCCACTTGCATTGACTTTTCAAACTAACCTGCCCTTTTATTTATGCAATTGATTAGGGAGGGGGGTTGTGGCATCCCTAGAATTGCTGAAAGAATTGCTTAAGCATTCTTTCAGCAGTAGTGTAGGGGTGCTAACCTCCAGCTGCCTGGATGCGTTGACCATCTGGGAATTATATTATCTCTGTCTGGCACAGCTGTTGCAAGGTGAATGTCTATCCCCAGCCTTAAAACTGTGGAGGAGGTTTGAGCTAAAGCATTTCACTTTGTGATTGCTGTAGACTGCCATAACAGGCATATTGCTGTTGCTTATACTAAGCTAACAACATTTTGCATTGTGGTTGTGGGGTGTGATCACAGGTGGCTAATGAAAACTCAGCTGACAAGGAGTAATTAGTCAAGCCATGGTAACTTGACCACTCTTGGTCATGTGTACACACATGAGTCCGCTATTGGGCATAAGGATGACTTAAAGATAGCTGGTACCAATGAAAATGTGTTTTGGTCTGAACAGGTTTGTAGAATTACATTAAAGAGGTACTTTTCTGAGGCAGCTTTTAACTAAGAATATCTTTATTCACAGAATATATAGTAAAGGGGTTTTTTTTTTCCCATGTTTGATAGGCCAGTGATACTTACCAACTTGAATTTCATCAGAAACAAGTCTAGGAAGTAAAATATTTTGTCAAGAACGTTTGACAGCATTTGAGGTACAAAATACCATAGTAGAATAAGTTGCTGCAGAAGAAACATCTGTATAAAACAACGATTGTTAAGACTATAAATTTGGATTCGGAAAATGTGGTGATGGTGTGAAAATGTTTAGTTAACACTTTGGGGTCTGTTTTTGATTATGGATTCAAGAGTCATTTACAAAAGCAGAATTATTTGCACCTCTCACATGTTCCTGTAATATTGGTAATGTTGTGTCTGTCTAGGGAGTTTTATCTAAGTGGTTTGTTATGCTCTTGTTTTTTTGTTACTAATGTAATATACCTGTACTATCATTTTCTAGGTATTTCAACAGCCTTCTTTAAATGAGCTAGAGTGTCTCATTACAATGCGGAAATCTGAAATTGAGCTTCTACAGGAAAAATTGAAAAAAGCAAGTCTTAATGTAGCAGAACATAATTTGTATACTACAAATACTCTGGAAAGCAGCAATATAAGGACTGGAAGAAAGCATGAGGTGAGATGGTTTTATTGTCTCGTGTATTTGTGTCTAAGTCAAGCTGGTAAAGCCAAACGTTTTTGCTCAAGGGTCCAGATAATAATTTTAGTATCTGTTGATGCTGCTTATATTTCTGGAAGCTTGTTTGAATGGTTCTTGTGTTATCTGCCAAAGACTTGTTAAAATAGCTGTTGGGAGTAGAAGGTTTTACCTTATTAAATACTGAATAAGGGATTCTTAATTAAATGAAATATTTGACGGATAAATTCTTTGTAGGTTTGTTAAAATTAATATTTATCAGGTATTTTGTTGTGTGTATCAGAATGACCATCCTTCCCTGGAAGGAAAATTAGATACATACAAGTGGTTATTAATATGATTTTATAAATTAAATAGATTTTTTTTTCAAATTCTTGATTTTTAAAGTATGATGTAGTATTTTTTCTACAAAGAAAGACAACAATGTCCTTTTGAAGTTTATCTTCTGACTTTTTATTACTCTGTGTAATGCTGGACTGACTCTTCCATGTTGACTGGCAGTTAAATTTAGGCACTAGCTAACAGTAACAGCTATGAACTATACCTAATGAAATAGATCTGTAAATAATTCTACAGCTTAAATTGATTTATTAAATTAGTCAAAGTCATTATGTTTTTCAGTGTGTTCAGCCTCTTCCTCATCTACATTTTTTTCTTTATTGTGATCGTATAGAATATGGGAAACTTGGAAGAGATTTCTGTAGCAAGGAACGTGTTTCTGTGTGGCATAAATAGTCTACAAGGGTGGACCATCATGCTCTGCTTCCTTAGAAATCTCATGGTTTTCCATATTTGGTATCTCATAACATTTCCTTTGAAAACGGTATGGCTTGTTCTTTCTCAGTATCCTGCACTGTATACTATTTTTGGGAAAAGACATATTTTAGAACATTTGTTTAGGAGACTGTGTTGGCACTTCTGTGAAAATGTGTTTAAGAAAGGACAAAATGCTGCATAGGCAGTGTAGAGTGAAGAACAGAAGGTGAGAAACAGCAAGGTCAGTGCAAACATCAAGGTTGGAGAAGGAGGAGAGGGAGAAGGTGCTCCAACTACTGGAATAGGTATTTCCCTGGAGCCCATGGAGAGGATCACCATGGAGCAGATGTCCACACTACAGCTTGTGGAGGAGCCCACACCAGAGCAGATGCATATTCCCTCACAGAAACCGCAGCATGTGGAGAGGAGTCCATGCTGGAACAAGTTCTTCTGGCAGGAACTGTGGCCCATGGAGAAACCACTCTGGAGCAGGGTTATCCTGAAGGACTCCAGCCTGTGGAGAGGCCCCACACTGGAGCAGGGGAAAAGTGTGAGGAGGAAAGTTAGAGTGGATGAAAGGAGCTGTTATGGACTGACTGCAACCCCCCATTCCCCATCCCCCTGTCCTGGTTGGCAGGAGGTAGAAGACTCAAGAGTGAAGAAGTGAGGCTAAGCCTGGGAAGGAGCGTGGGGGAGAAGGTGTTGTGTTAATATTTTCCCTATTTGTTACTACCTAATTCTATTTTAAGCAGTAATAATTTAAATTAATTTTCCCCAAATCTGCCCATGACAGTGAATGGTAAGCAATCTCCATTTCTTTGTCTCAACCAATGAGCTTTTTCATCCTATTTTCTCCCCGTCCTGGCAAGGATGGAGAGTGAGTGAGCAGTTGAGTGGGTGTTTGACCCTTCACCAAGGTTAACCCACCACAATGCCATTTCTTATCTCCTCAGAATAATGTAAATGAGAGTACCGTTTTTACAATGAACTGTTCACTGTGTCAGGAATAAAGCAATCACCTCCCTTGAGTAAAACTAAATACAGACTTTTAAATCCTATTGTAGAGAATCTTTTCTTGTTTTGGCATGTAGGTCCTGGTCCTCTTTCAATACTTGGGGTTGTTTGATATGTGCACTTTTTCACATATTCATGCATTCTGTATTAAAACTTCTGGGGACTAAATTGACAGGCTACAAATCCTCTGTGTTTAGGCAACACCATAAGGAAAATTGTAGGAATGTTCTGGCTTTCAGAAGGGCCTGGGACAAAACAGACACCTGCCATTAGTGTGATAAATTAGGATGTCTGGCCACATGACTGTATGCTTCCACCTATGTTTGTTTTGCAGAATGCAATGATATATATACATCTATAGGCTAGTGCAGTTTTCTGTGAACTGCAGAAATTCAAACCCCTTGCCTACAGTCATACAGAGTAATAGAAACACTTATTTTGTGAGACAGATGATGTGGTGTTTAGAAGCTTTGTTAAATATGCACATGTAGTGTAATTTTTCTTGATACTGTCAAGTGTGTACTTAGAGGCAATTGTAACCCTCATAGTCTACTCTGGGTTGGAAGTGGTACAGTTGAGTGCCATTTTGTATGAAGACTTAAAAAGTCAGTTGCTTGATCTTCCTAAAACTCTTTTTGGAGCTTAAACTTTTTAACTTTGTGAGCTGTGTATGATTTCTGTTACCTAATTGAACTGTCATCCATATGTCGTGCCAGCCAATTCAGTAACACAGCCCTTGGTTTTTTATATCTAAGCTTTTCCATTGTATGATATATGTGAGTTATAACTGCTTTTTATTGATGTACATTGTATAGCATTCTTCTAAGCCTATAATGTCAAGGTATTAAAAGGCATGAGTTAGCTTGCAGTACTGATAAAGTTCCTGTTGAAACATATTGAATCAAGAATTTGCCATTTTTCTCTCCAAAATACCCCACCTACATCTTGTCAGACTCTGGTTCAGCTTCAACAATGTTTCTGTTTCTTCGACTGACAAAAAACGTGATTTCTGCCCACTGTCTTCAGTGCTGTTTACTGGCAGACATTTATCTCCAAGACATTTCAATAAGAGTTCTGTCTTCCCTTGTTTGCCTTTTTTTTTTTTTTGACTTGTTTGACTCCATCCAACAAAAAACCTGTTGAATTCAAGAACGTGACTATATCCAGCTTAATCCTGTGGACTTTCGTAGTGCAGACAGGTAACAGAAGGTTGTTTAGAGAGAGGCATCTTTTCTTTTTCTGCTTCTTGTACCTCTGTTAACAGTTAATGTGAGTCACATACACATAACAGCTATTTCTTTACATTAAGTCCTCTGTCACAAAGTTTCATATCTATTAATATTAGAAAGCCTGTTTATTTCTGGTTTTCTGCTATTTGGCTTTGTCTTTTGTAAACATGCTTTAGGATCTTTTTGTGAAGTCTTCTGTGGTTACCCTTTACTGACTTAATGTTCTTTCCTTATAAAACAAGACTTTTTCTGACTCCTAAACATTTCCTAAATGTTTAAAACATAACAATTTATGTATATGTTTAATAAAGGTGTGTCTAAATTCACTGTAGAATTTAAAGACTGAATTAAAAATTAAATGCTTAAACTTGGCAGCAGCAGCAAAGTTTGCAGTTGTGAGAAGGGCATTACAGATGCCATCTTCCAAATAAAGTTTTGCAGCAGCCCCAGGCAATCAAATTACAGTGTATTTTACTACACAGGCCCTTCTGTCTTGGTAGGAAAATTAAACTGTTTGCCTTCTTACCAAAGATTGCCTTCAAACTACCTATGTGCATCTATAAAGCCCAGACCCAGCTCCTTCTCTCCACAGACCTCTAGACTGATCACTAAACAGGTAAAAACATATTCAAACAATATAATGTTTCTTAATGCACATCACCAACCTGTTCTCACAAGCAATGAGTTCCATGTCCATGAATAGTTAAATTTTTCTCCATTTTTTTTCCATACCTTGGCCCTGTGGAAAAGATTCACAGTGCAATCCCAGGTAGATATATATAAAGTTTGTATGTATGTGTGTGTGCGTATGTGTGTGCGTGCGTATATATGTATGTATATATATATATATAAAACCCTGTTGTGTACTCATTGTATCTGATCACTTTTACTTAAAGCAGCAAGATTATAAATTTTACATTTTTCTGTATTTTTTTTTTTGCTTTTCTCCATTCCTTTGTAGAGTCTCTCTACCTAGTTATTATTTGCATTCTAGTGCTGGTTGGTCTACTTCTTTTTCTTTGTTGTCCTGCTTTTTGGCAACAAATGCAGTGTTTTGACCTTTTATTCCTGATTTCAGAGAAATCTTGTATTTTCCAAGTCTTCTGTATAGAAACATAAAGTTTAAGTAGGAAACATTTATTGAAAAATAACTCATTTTGGATTCTTACGAAAAAATAGTGTGGGTATGCAATAATTAGGAAACGTGGAAGTTTTATTTAATATCTTGGTTTTAGTCAAGTAACCTGGGACTTTGAAGATTGGTAGATTTTTTTGATCCGTTAGTCTTGGGATGTTCTGCTTCGTACACCTGATAGGCATCAATTTGGTTTTGTGCAATGTTAAAATCTTTACTGATTAATATCAGCATCCGTTAACTGAAGTAAACTTTTGGATAGCTCTACCAGAATTATTAGAAAAAAAATCAGTAATCTTACTATTTCAAAGAGATCTACTGTTAGTACTATGTCATTCTGACAATTAAAATATAAATTTGGAAATACTGTTTTAAATATTCATTAAAACTTTCTTCTAGTTTCTTCTGTTACATAAAGTAACTGACAGGAATATACAAAATATGTCTATTTGACATTCAGATTTTAAATGTACTAAAATTCTTTGCAGTTGTTAGTTTTGGTTTAGTTTTGGTTTTTTTTTAATCTCATTCAGGCACACTACAGAAGCAAAGGGAACCCAAAGCCAAATGACAAAACCACCTTGGCAATATTTAAATTCTTAAATAGGTACTATTATTATTTTCTGATATTTCATGATAGTATTTTTTTTCTTCTTTTTGGAAACCAATATGATTTAAACTGGAAGTGTGGTATACAGTAAACATTTAATACTGGAAGGTAACAGTGAAAGAAAAAAATGCCAATTGCTCATTAAGATTCTCTTTAAATTCAATTATTTTAATGGAATAGTGAAAGTGTTGAAGTATGCAGTATTCAAGCAGACTTCATCCTGAATTTCTTTTGTTGTAAATTAGTTATTTTACAGTGAAAATGGCAGCATGCAACAGCAATAATCCCAATTAATAATAAATTTTTGTTTGACTTTATGTATTTACGTAATAGCATTTTACCTTATCGGTGTTAAGTGTGTGTTAGTATTTCTCTGTCCTTAACCAAAGTTATTCAGAAAATCAGAAAGTCTAATTTGATGAGGTCTTTCTTTCTTTGCCATAAGGACATATGACATAGAATGAACAAGAAAGCTGCCCAGTTTAAGTGTTACTTTCGCATATTCTTTCTCCAGATTGCTATATGAAGCTCTACATAATATAAACACATATTCTTGTCTCTAGTTAGTCACATTATAGTTAATGACCATATGGTCATTATGGTATAAGATCTACTGTCTGTTGTATTTATATTCCTCAAGCATATTGTTCCTTCAACTTCACAGTGTGTTAAACTATTTCAAAGGGAAAAAAATCCTTTCCCTCTTGTTTCTGGTTGTCCTATCAAGTGTAACCTTGGACCCTTATAGAGCAATTAGACCAGCCTCTATCCCCTCCTTTGTAATGAGGTTTCTTGCATTTCTGAGTCTATAACCCTTTAGTCTTCCCTAATGGGACATCATTATTCTGAAAGAAACAATGTAAATGTAAATGAATATTCTCATTAACGAGTCACAGAGAAACCTTTAGTGGTAGCGCTGTGGTAATTCTGCTTGTTATTTCTCCGGTATTCCATGCAGATTTTTTTTTTTTATAATTCATTATTAGTATTCAAAATTACTTCTTCTTTAATTCTGCATGTCTTTCATAATCCGGTGTTCCAACTAGTTCAACCATGTCCTTGTTTTATTCTCCAGGAACCACCTGTGAAACGTTCAAGGTCTCTGTCCCCAAAGAGCTCTTTTAGAGAGTCAGAGGAGCTAAGGAAGCTTAAAATGGCTGAAAGGAAGATTGAAAACTTAGAGAAGACACTACAGCTAAAGGTGAACATTAAAAAAATAAAAATAAAAAAACCCTCTAGCTATAAGCTTGCATAGATAAAGATATACAAAAATAAACAGACATTTTAAAAATGCAAAACGCACATATTGTTATGGACTGTGTGTTACCATAAGAGAGCACTCTCCATTAGTTTGCCTTTTTACTTTACTGCTAGGAATCTTGTCTTAGTACTCCTGCAGTCCTATGGAAGCCTAATTCAAGCTGTCATCAATAATACATGCATGTTAAATACATTTGCAAAATTTGTGTATGAGAATATATATTCTGAGAAATTAATGTATTCATATAGAAATAAAGTGAAGCAGAAAGTACAAAGAATTTTTTTTTTACCATGAAGCCAACATTTTAAAATGCTGAAGTCAGTTACTTGGAACAGATTTGTCCCTTGTACTCTTAGAAGTTGTGACTCAGAAGTGTTGTTCTAACAAATGCTGTAAAAAAAAAAAAAAACAAAACCCCAAAAAACCCCAACAAACCCCACCACACCCCAATGCTTGGTAGAAAAGCTGAATTGTGCATGTATTACAATTTCCAGTTGTGTCCCTGTTTTATAGATTTTGGTTAGTTTGGTTTTGTTGACTTGGTTTTTTACTTCAAATATAGTACCTTTTGATTGACCAAATTGCACCGCAGAATGCAAAACCCAAACCCTGAGTCATATTTTATTGAATATTCCCTTCCCACCTCCCTCCCTTTTCTCCTTTTTTTTTTTTTTTTTTTCCTATTGCTTATGTTTGTTCAGAGTTAGGGAATTTGAAAGATATTTTCAGTATATGTAGCCTAAAGCAGGACTGGTCATATTGAACATGCTGTGATAAATGTCAGGTAAGTGAAAAAATTTGGGGAGTTCTACAAATCATAGTCCTGAGCTCCTGCATCATGCAAAAAGACACTCACAGGTGTGAGTCAGTTCTAGAAAAAACATGAGTGGTAATTACATTTCAACACAAATGCAGAAGTTCATCACCCTGTGTACTTGAGAGAGTTTAATGTAGTGTTTTAACAGACGTAGAATATATGAACAGGAAAGGTGATTTAGACAAATTCAGTCTTATAGGCCATCTTGCTCCTTGTTCCTGTCAGTCAGATTAATTTTTGGATTGCTTTTTCCCTCTGTTGAGAAATTTGAGGCATGTTCTACTGGCTCTACCTGAGAACTGGCCACTGGCAGTCCTCCTGTTTGTTACTCCTAGTTGGCCTGCCAGAGACTGATGCTACAGACTATTCTGTCAATGTGGACTACAGCTGCCCCGCCCTTGACAGCAAAGCTCACACATCATTGTGTATGTTTGTTGTGATAAATGATAGAGAGATCCATGTTTCTTTGTGTTTCCTTCTGGAAACAGGAGTGAAGAGAAGCACTCTGATTTTCTAAGCAGATATAGAAGAGAAAGGATTGTTATTCTCTCTGCATGACCTCATAACATAATTTTTACTGTTCACCATGCCGCCTTTGTCATGTCTTCTGTTTCATCTTAAAAGCATAATTTCTGAATCTGTGCAGCTTTATTATGTTGCAAGTGTGGGATCTCTATTTATCACAGCTGTTAATCCATGAGGTCTTTAAGGGCTAAGTCTTCTCTCTCCCCCTGAAACTGAATTTATGAACTCCTTGCATTTTCTTTAGGAAAACTACTTGGCTTATTTTGCAGAATGCTTTAATTGATTGAAAAGAAGCTGTAGAGGCCCAGGTCAACATACTAAAAACTGTTGTGGCACTACATTCAGAATTCACTGAGGCTATTGCCAGCATGACAGTGAACTCAGCTGTCATAAAATTAACATCAGAATAATTCTATTGGCATTGTATTATTTCTTGATATTAGCCTCCTCTTGGGCTTTGCTTCCAACAAAGAATAATGCACGTGATCAACATTTTCAAAACTGGTGCTTGCATTATTGCCTCCTCAAGCAAAGTGTTGACTATATGATTACTTGAAATATACTTGCTCAGAAAAATTCTTGCTCTATCAATGAACATATTGATAATGCATATCCTGAATTTGAAATTGTGACTTTATCCATTGGTCCTTCTGCAAATTTGGTAACAATAAAAAAAAAAAAATATATGATCAGCTTTATTTATGGGGTTTTCAGGAACAGGAATATTTGATGCTCCAGTTGATATTATAAAGAACAGAAAATGGTAAGGTCCCGTTCATAGGACTTTCCAGTTCTCCTTATCTGACTAATTTCTGGCCAAGGAAAGTTGACTCTTACTCTCTTTATTGCTAATATAAATAGGGTAATCATGTAAATTTAGAATGTCCATAGTTTTGGTGCAGAATCAGCTTCAGTTCTGCGCTATAGGGCATACTAAAAAATAACAGAGCATGCCTGATTGCACCCTTGTTTAGGGAAGAGAATGTCAAAGTAAGAGTATTTCATGGATTTTGAATATAACATTATCAAGCTAGTACTTAGAACAGTCCAAAGCATAAGTACATCAATCTACTGTTGGACTTTAAGAAATGGGTAGGAGTTCGATTGCCGAGAGTTAGATATTTGATACAAGCTAAGAATATGTTCTCTTCTCCCGTATTATGTTTCTAGAATGGCGATCCCTGGCATAGCCTAGAGGAGTTCTTCCTGGCTTTAATTGGAAAGTTTTCAAAAGCAATAGGAGATCTTTACTTTGAGTTTTCTCTCCTTTTTGTTCAAAGTTCTATAATTTTGGAGAGAATTAGAAATAGAATATGTAGATCAGTATTTAGGGCCACCTTAATATTTGTTAGTGTGAGCAAGGGCAGACTGTTATGTTTAGTTTAGATTTCCTATATAGTCCTTTTCCATGTATGGTGTTCAGATGCAAAAAATATATTGTGACTTTTCCATATAACTACTTGTGGAAAAAACTGGTTTTGTAACAGTCTGGTTCCTCATTTGTCAGCCTAAGAAGAGTAGTCAAAGAACTGAATTTTTTTTTTTTTTTAATTCCGTTTTGGTTCAATTTTTACTGTAAATTAAGCTGTTACAGGTCAATTTCAACAAAGTTTTGTGGTAGTGATTTGAATCTTTCGGCTTGTCTGAGCTGCCTGTGAATAGCAAATTGCCTTTTTTTCACAGGCAGTTGGACTCTTCTTTCTGCAGATTGGACTTTGTCTTTTTGTCTTTCATCATTACATGGGAAATACCACAAAATGACAGTGGAGGGCTGGAGAATAACATGGAGATCCAGCACTTCTAGAGATGGTTGTCCTGTCCCATTTCTGTCAATATATAGAAAACTGTATACAAGACAGTTTATTTATTAAACAATACAATGTAATTAAATCAGAGCGAGATGGAACTTGCTGAGAATATGGAAATTACAGTGTAAATTTAAAGTTCTCAAGTGCTTAATAATTCAATAAAAGAGACTGATTGGGGCAGTTAATTGTCTAATTTCTATTCCTTCAAGAGCAGAGCAACTGATAAGGGTAGGGAATAACTGTAAGAGAATGGATAATGGAACAGGTAAGCAATAATGAAAAATGTAGATTCATAAATAGGAAAGGCCAAATTCTACACTTGGTTGCATCTTTGAAAGGGCATTGACACTAATAAACTTCTGAGGATTTATGCTGAAGACATTATTTTCCAGTACCTTGCCAGACTTGATCAGTTATCTCGAGCAATATCAAACAATCTCAGAATAATGATTTCGTGAAATTCTTTTGAAAACACAACATCTATAATTGGATTCTTATAAACATTTCCTGTTTTAGTGTCAAGCAAATTTTGGTAATAGTCTCTATGTCCTTCATCATAAATTAATCTTGCTATGTGTGACCTTTTTTTTAATATCATTGTAGTATTTATATGAGCTGCTTAAAACCAGACAAAAGTACTTTTTAAGCAATTCTAAATTTATAAATATATCTGGTTTACAGATTGTTTTGGAAAAAAATGCACCACTCTGGAAAAGTATTTAATGATAAGGTCACTTTGGTACCTGCTCCTTTTCCTAAGACTGCTTTGTATGTGGCCTGAGTCACTTCAAGAAAAGTTGTAGAATTTTATATGTAGTAGCATCTGAAATTTTAGCTCATATCTTTCAACTTTATGTGTCATGAAGCCAAGCTTAGTCTAGGTACTTTGTAGTTACCCCTACTGTGGAAACTCCTATGTTCTTATAGTGGGGTTTAATTTTTATTGCTTACAGCTCTGACTATTGGTGTGTATTAATTATTGACTAATGCTGCGAAGTCTTCCTTGCATATAAACAGTAAATTCATGCAAATAAAGTATTGTGATTTACTTAGAGATTAAGGAACACGTTTTGTAGTTGCTCTACAAGCAGAGCTCCCATTGATCTGGAAATGAAGCACTGAGGGCAAATTTTACTGCACGACCATGTCTGGTGAATTCTTCAGTGCTCTGCGCCAGTATTTGACTGTGGAATGTCCTCTTCTTAATGTTCTTTTTTTTTCACAGTACAGTATTGTTGCTTAGGAAATTCTTTTTTAAACTAGCATGATGTTATCCTGTAATATATATCAAGGTATATCATACTTTTCATTCTGGAAAAAGAGTACGTTTTTTCGTATGGTTTTGATTATATAAGAGCTATAGCAGAATTTGTTTTTATTTCTTGTTTGTTACATATCTAGAGAACAAAGTCTGGGTGTTGCAGATTTGTATATATTTACAGAAATAAATTAATATATGGGGAAATCCTGAAGCCATTTAAATTTAGGGGTTTTTGATGTGGACCTCAATGTGGCCAGTGTTTCCCTTGAAAATACGTAGATTAGTTTTCCACTGGAGGAAAAAAAAAAGCAAAAAGAAAAAAGTACTTTGGAAAAGAAGACAGTGCCAACAATCATTTTCCAGTCCATGTATTTTTAGGTGTATTAGGCCAATGCATTCATGGGATGAAAACTGTCATTTTAATAGTGAATTTTTTAAAACTTCTCAGCAGCATGAAAAAACATTGAAGTAAATTTTGCCAGATTAGCAAGAAAAACTTGACCTCAGGGATTGTGTTTCCTGATCTTTCTATTTAGATTTCTGACACTCTTAATAGTTACTTAAACAGAACTTTTGTTTCATATGATGTGTGTGAAAGTCTCTTACATTTTGACCAACTCTAATTTTGTTTTTCTGGTGCTATACAGACCCAAGAAACTGATGAGCTAAGAGCAGCCCATGAAAAACGTGAAGAGAGGCTGCAGATGTTACAGACCAACTACAGAGCACTAAAAGAGCAATTAAAGCAGTGGGAAGAGGGCGATAGCAGGTAAGTTACATAGCTCATTAAAAACATTTCCCTTACACAAGAAATCTGAACAGAAGTATTATACAGGTATTCAAAAGATAATTTGATCTGAAGGAAGAAACTATTATGTGGTGATCAAGACTTTATCCTTTGTTAAAGCAGAATACATGGTATACTCCTATATGAGAAAAATTACAGTTGAAACCAAGAGCAAAATGTATTGAGCTGACACCTTGACTTATTCTATTTAGGATCTCATTTTGAGCCTGAGTACTGGACAAAGGTCTGCTAGGGCTGCTTATTTATGCTTGTCTAATTCCCCAGTCAATTAATTTGTTGACTGTGCATGTATTTAATTTTCTATAATAGAAAAAATGTTCCTTGTGTTTCAAGTAGTTTTTCAAAATAATTTTATTCATTAAACAATGTAGAAGTAACATCCTCTCTAACATTTACTCATTCAAACATTAACTGAAGCTGATCCTAAAATCCCTTTCTTAATAGGGAAGAAAGAGTATGTGCATGAAAAACAGCGTGTTGTCATCTGTTAAATGATTATATGATCAATTATTTCTGATCATTCTACAAAAATATTTCAGTAATATATCTTTATTAATGGAAAGAGGAAACACTTTACCACATCAAAATTTAAATAGTGAATACTCTATATATAATTCTCCCTTAAGTTCTATACAGAACAGTGAAAAATTTATACGGATTTTTTTTTTTTTTTTAAGTCCTTAGCAGAGAGTTCAGATTTTTGATAAACAGATACATTTGGAGGTATGAAGACGTTTCTTGTCACTTCAGTTATCAGACACTGCTGACATACAGTTGTTCAGGTCCTGTTTCAGGAAAGTAATTTGAGCAGCTCCTTATATCCTGGTGGCTTTAGTAGGACTTTAGCGTGCACTTACAGTTTAGTAAAAACATATGTCCCACTAAAAATAATTATTTTTGTAATTAGAGCAATACTGATTAATTTTGACACAAACTTTGTAACTCTTTCTAACTGTAAAGAGAGTCACAGAAATTGCTGCAAAACTGGTAGCCATTCAGAGAGTCCAAGGTGCCATAAAAAGTCTTACTGTTAATGATAAACTATCCCTTTCAAATAAGCAGTGCTTTGGCCTATCTTAGTAGATTTGCATTGCCTGGTAATACTACGGCATTTTCTTAAGAATGGTTTGTCTTTTAAAAAGGAAAAAACAAAAGTGCGGATGAAAATAATGGTAAGGTATAAATCTGTTACATGCATTGGTAGCACAGGAAGATTTTTTGAAATATCAAAGCGTAAATAACAAAAATATTTGTTAAATTAGAATTAAAATGTTTTGTTTATTTAGGAAAAACATGGATGATTTTATCTTCTAGCTCACTATTTTAAATTCAGTGCAAGCTGGAAACAACTGAAACCTACATTATGCAATGAAATTATTTAATTCTGTGTCTAAGCTAAGGTAGGCATTCATGGTCCACAGAGAGGCCAAGGCTGAAAAGATACAAAATTTCAACCTAGATAAAGACAGTAAAATCAAACTTGATATACAGTGAAGCACTGAGTGTTCTGGTTCTGATATTTATTTTTTTTAAAAAAAAAGGAAGAAAAGGGAAGAGAAAGAGACACAAAAGCAACTTCTGTTTCTGTTTAAAATAAATGAGACCAGCTTGTGTCCTGACAGGAATGTATTTGGGAAAAATAGATATTGGGGAAAGTGTAATACTAAATCTTTATTGGTTCTTCTGATTTTTTTCCATCCATAATTAAGATGAGCTGAAAATTACAGTGGTTTGTGTCATCAGAACAGAATTGTGTGAAGCCGTTATACTGAAAGGGGTTTGGTTTTCCTTTTAAATATGCTTAAACAAAAGAAAGTAGCCAAGACACAAACACGAACAGTCTGTAAATGGTGATATCTTACACTGTTATTTTGGTATCTCAAAAAGCTTTATATCACTGGTGTAATGTATATTGTGCATTAAGAACTCAGTATCAGGTACTTATGTGGCGCTTCTGATCCTCTGTAAGAGATGGAGGACACCATTCTTTCTGATTCTTCATAGATTAGAATCTGTTGTCGAGATGACAGCTGATGGGACCTAATCTACCTGTCAGTGTACATACAACTTCCACTGACATACGTGACTGCAGAGATGATGGGGGCCTTGTGAGGTTACCACATTCTCTGAGAGTTTGTTTCTATGCCCAGTAGGAATTTAAATTGCAGGAATTTTTAAATTCATTATATAAAGGATTTTTTTAAATACAGTTTTTACTTTTTGCATTATTAAAATACATAAATATATTTTAAGGACAGTCAAGCTGTGAAATATTTTCATTTTCTGTGCATTGAAATTCAGTATGCTTTTTCCTGATGCACTTCTTATCCATAGATAGCTTATTCTTTCATTAGAGAGTAGATCAACAGTTTGATTTAGAGTGGGCATTAGTGCAACTTCCAGGTTGGTTTGCAGGGGCATTAGGGGAGCTGGTGGCTCTCCCATTTTTTTGCAAGAGGTTGTGTGAGGGGTTGACCTTCTGCTTTCTCATACCAGTATTGTAAGGAATGTTGACAGAATGAATACAGGTGACACTGCTCTGCCAAATGTCAGTTGAGAGCCATGGTGCCATACTAGAGCTATTTCTGTCTGAAACTACGTAACGGAACTTTTCTCTAGTACCACGTTTACGGTTTCCTGCCTCACAGAATGTATACACCATACAAGATTTATATTCAGTAGATGCTGCAGTTTAAAATTTGTATTTTCTGAAAGCAAGGATGCTTTTATTTTTGTGGTCCTGAAACATGTAGATATTTGAAAACAATCTACCTCTTTTTACTCATAAACAGGACTGAAAGTAGTAAAAGCCGATACCAGCATGCAGACCCTGGTCAGCTTTGTCAAGAGGATTCTGATGCTTTGTGGAATGAACTGGCTTTTTTCAAAAGGGAACACAAAAAGCTGTTGATTGAAAAGTGAGTTCATTTCTTAAATGGTGTTTACATAAAGAAATATTCTGCTGTTGTTTCTGAAGGTAGTGCTTTGCTGGCCACGTAAGAGGAATTCCTTGCAAAATTCCAAGATAAAACCATCTTCTACCAAAAGCAGAAAAGGAAAACATCAGCTCTTTTTTTTTTTCCTTTTTTTTTTTTTTCCTTCTTAAATCAGTGACAAGTTACAAGTTTGCTAGCACTAACAGAAACTGTATTCCATGATCTAGGGATTGTGTTAATTAATGTGGCTCTCATCTGTTGGAGGTGTCGCTCTTCATTAGCCTGTATTTTACACACTGCCGTGCTTCATTTTTGGAATGAGGTGGTGAGGGGATAACCTAGCCAGCCATCCTTGTTTGATCTCTGTGATACATACGCAATGCAGAATGCCTCAGCTCTCTTGGTTCCCTGCCCTGTCCTGCTAATCCCAGCTGAGCTCATTATGGTGTAGCCTTGCTGCTACTCCTGGAGCCAGAGCTGTCCAAGCTAATTACTGGTAGCAGCAGAGCTGCCTGTTAAGGGTCTGGTGTGGATCTGCTAACATGGTCCTTGGTAGTGACCTGCAAAAAGCACGAGGGAGTTGCTCTCTTTCTTGCTGTGCACAGCCTGTCCTTTGGGTTTAGTGCTGATCCCTTCACACAGCTCTTTTAGCTGTAGTAAGTGTAAAACTTGGTGAAGGAAACTCTTACTTTAGAAAACATACAGTTTGCTGCTTTGATCTCATAATTCATAGGCTATTATACTCAGCCAGGCAAAGTAAGAAAATGTCCTTTTATACTAGACAAAAGGAAGTTAGTATGGCATAATTAGCCCTTTGCTAGTATTTAACACTTTCTGTAAGTCAAGTTGATTTTTTTTTTTTAAATTTAAGAATCAAGACATCGTAGAAACTTTTATTCAGACTTTGTTTTTGTCAGCATTAAAGAAAATGTGTTTTCCCAATGGGTCCCAATGTAAACTGATTTTATGGAGATACCATGAAGGCTGCTATCACAGAATTTCAACAGCAGCAAATTGTTTTGTAGTATGTAAGTTCTTGTGTTGCCCATAAGCTCGTTTATTACATGCAGTATTGCCAGCAGCTGTGTTGCGTGGGGTATTGTTATATCTGCCAGTTACAATTGTATGCCTCTTCTTGTCACTTCATTGTCACATCTTTGTTTGCTGTTTTGAAACGATCACAAAAAACATCACATGCAGTTCTTTTGTTTATCTTGATTTTTTGTAGGAAAGAGCACTTTCTGGCCGTACATGTAATTGCAGTTGTAATTCTCCTTCCATCACTAATCAACACATTCACCACAGGCAACAGTAACTCAGGAGCAGTAACATAAGCCTCTCCTTTTCACAGACAGCCGTGAAACAGAGATTGCTTACGTATTGTGCACACCCTGTAGGTTGGTACAGTTGGACTGTTTTTCTAGAGCTCCTGTACAGTCACATTTATGGGGAACACTCTCGTGCCTGGTATGTTGCAAATCAGTGGCCTTGATTAGATTGTGGTAAAGTGGCATGAACAAACAGTTGAGCTCTTTGAAATACATAATTTTTAAGTCAAAATAGGTCTTAAAATTCTGCATAGTGCTTAGTAAAAAGCCAGTGCAGCATTGTGATTATTACATGAACTCCTTGTGTGGGTTTAGGTGCTTTTTACTCCTTATTGACAATGTAGCTTACTGTTAGTTGACGTAAGGAAGGAGTGAACACATAACTCCTGTGTTTTTTATATCTGCCTTCAACATCTGTCTCTAGTAATGACTGTCTTTAATTTGTTGAAGCAAGTCAGCATTTCAAGATCTAAATGTACTAAATTTAATGTACTTTTTAGATCTGTGGATAGGACTTCTTTGTATTACGCATATTCTTTCTTAAGCTCTGTGGATAAAGGACATGATTTACAGAGTCGTACCAATTACTTGTATGTGTGATTTTACAAGCAGTGTAAGCAAATCAGGTTAGCCCATAGTTTTTGTGGGTGCACTTAGTTTGATAGGCCCTACTGATTTTGAACATGTGTAAGCGAAATCCAATGCAGCTTTGCTTAAAGAAGAATGTCTGTGTAGGGATTTTATTTTGGTTTAAGTCTGTGTTAACTTTAAATATGTGTAATCTCTGTCTGTGACTAGGCCAGAGAGTGAATGTTAGGAAAACAGGGTATTTGTTATTCTTTGTTTGTTTATTTTAGCTGTAAAGATGTTTTTCCTTCCTTCCTTCCTTCCTTCCTTTTTGCCCTTCCTTCCTTCCTTTTTGCCCTTCCTTCCTTCCTTCCTTCCTTCCTTCCTTCCTTCCTTCCTTCCTTCCTTCCTTCCTTCCTTCCTTCCGTCCTTTTTGCCCTTCCTTCCTTCCTTCCTTTTTGCCCTTCCTTCCTTCCTTCCTTTTTGCCCTTCCTTCCTTTTTGCCCGCCCTTCCTTCCTTTTTGCCCGCCCTTCTTTCCAAGGGCACAATAATGATGTAAAATGTCTAAGTTGCGCATACATTGCTCTGAAAATAGGCAGATAATAAATACAGTGTAAAAACAAGGAAAGCCTGTTGATGCATGTCCAAGGCTTGAAAATGCAGTCTTTACCAATATTAGCACACTGTAAACAATGAATTTGTAAGTTATCAAAACTGTTTTTAAGTCAGAAAAAAAAGAAGTTGCTTGGAAAGTCACTTGTTCTGGTGGAGCCAAATCCTGTTGGTGTTGGTGGAAAGACTTTGTGTCAGCCACTACTTTCTGTCAGGTCCTCTTTATAAAGTTTTCTTCTCATCACAGGCAGAGATTGCTTTGACTTTCATGTAAGCTATTAAACACTATGCACCTAAAAATCTGGACACTTAGCACACAAATACAGGGTTTAGGACTTAAGTTTAAGCACCTCTTTTTTAAATACCTGAAGTTTTCTGTTTTCATGAAGTTCAGAATGCTTAATATCAGAGTTACTGTTTGGAGACTGTTGATGCAGAATGTGTGGCATTGTTACTACCATTTTTTTTTTACTTTTTGATTAGTAAGGAATAGTATCTGCATGTTGTATTACTTTACAATTAATAGAGGGATATGTTTCAGAGCCATGGGCTGCATCCTCTCCATGACTAATGATGTATAAATTTGAAGCATTTGTACATATAAAAGAAAGTATCTCTATATTGTTACAATCCCATACTAGATTGCTAAAATATAATAATCGATAAACTGTGATTATTCAGTGTGTGCTCAATGCTTTATGTGTATATTTCTCCTGAGTTTCCCAACATTGCCCTGGAAAGATGAGGATTAGTATGATTTATCTTTATACTGAGTGCATTACAGAATAATTGTTCTCTGACTTTATAGAAACTGTGTTTAGTAATAGCTTTACCTGACTTCTTTATTAAACCTCTTCCCCCAGTCATTACTCTTTCACAAAGAATATCAAATTATATTCCATGATGTGTACGATGTGGATTGAAAGCTGCATTTTTAATTTTATGAGTTATAAAATCTTGGTTTTTAAATTCTTTATTATTAAAAAACCAAAATAAAATAGAACAAAAAAGGTCCAAAATTTAATTTCACTTTGACATTTGAACCAGTAGCTAAAAAAAATAGTCTAATTTTTAAACCCTCACAACACATAGTCTTAAGAGATTAGAATTAGCAGCTACCAGCTAAACTCATGCCAAAATTGTAGAGTTACAAGCAGGAACAAAGATAGGTAGTTGAAACAAATTCCCTAAATATTCTCTGAAGTGTTTATTAATGCTAATGGCCAAGTGAAAAAAGTTCCACAGCTCTGCTAGGATATCTCATTTTGTTCTTCTCATGTGGGTCGTTTTCCCTATGACGTGTGCAATACTTGTGCTGCAGTCATTTCCTGTTAAGTACTATGTTATTGTAGGCTACAGAAGCAGCTATTGTGTTGGAGTTCATGTTCTGTGTTCAGAATAACATGGGATTTGATCGCTTTTTCTCCCCCTTAAGCAAACAGAAAAACATAGTAGTATTCGAACAGTAGTCAACACTTAGCTGATGAGGAGAGTGACCTGTTCTTCTATAAATATCATATTTTTATTTGAGCTGCATGAAAATGCTGAAAACTTGCAAGAGCAAGATCTAGTATCATAATTATTCAGCTGTGCAACACCAGTGCTTTCAGATTCAGCATCTTGCAGCTGCATAGAACTGGAATATCTTAAATGAAAATAGGCATATCATGTTATAGATAGATAAATTTCTATAGATATATCTATAAACGTACACACCAATATATATAAATCTAGTGTAGTTCTCAGGCTTTTAGATAGATTATTTTAGTCTTGGCTATTAAGTGCAAAATGTTGTCTTGGTTTCTGTAGTGTGGTATTGACAGATACATCCTTCGACATTTTCTTCCCACATTACCCAGATTCATCTTTGTATCTGTATTATTTAGATTTTGCTGAAATTTCAGGGTAGGCTAGTATGTAGGTTAACTTGTTAAGTTTGTCTGTAGGACTTTTCTTAACTGTGTCCACCAGATCTTGTAATTTCCTGTGTCCTGGCTAACAGACAAATTTGGGGGCTTGCTGTGGTTTTGGAAATCAGATGTGTTGATGTTTTTCATTTGTTCTTTCATATTTAGACTTTTCTTGTTTGCAGGTATTTGTTCATATCCAGGTAGAGTTATCAAATCTCCATAAACAGCCTGTAGTATTTCAGTGCCTTCTCATACCTGATGAGACTGTGTCATACTGAAAACATGCAGTCATGCCATTAAGCTTTGTTCCATAATAATGTAAGCAGGGAAAGGCAGAATTAAAGTTGCTTTAGTGATAAAATTTGGGCATTGTCAGGAACAAGAATAGCAGAGAGGTGTTGGAGAAAGGTAGGGACTCTTAAATTAACTTCCTTTTGTGTTGCTTGCACAGAAGTATTGCCTGCCTTGCTGTTGAATCAGAGTGATTTCTGTAGATTATCTGAGTGTTACAGAAATGAAATATTGTACTGTTGGTGAGCACACTGCTTGTGAGAGTGCTGTCTT